TACTGACATCATGCCATAACATGACCATTCCAAAACAAACAAATTTTGAATTGCATATATAGTGTGGTAAAATACGATAGAGTATTAAAAAAGCACTTTAATATAGCTGCTTCTAATGTTGGGCTCTACTTCATTATAATAATATAATTTACGTTCACTCACAACCGTTCGTTAAGTTCACATTGAGAATCTATTACATCTAGTTGCGTGTTTTTGTACACGAAATAGACCAGAATTTGATTAGTATTTATATCGCCTCTAGAAAACCTCAGCAAGAAACGCGTGCATGTTTTGCGCAACAGACATAGCGCGTCTACCGACGTCACGAAACTCACACCAGCACTCGCACGCAATTTTGTTTGCATCTGTACTATCTAACCCTATAAAGCAGTGCAGTTACTATGCATTTACTATGTATGCTGGAATTGGTCTGGAATTCTCCCATCCCAGCATGCCAAATGCCCATCTGACTATCCAACGATATGCTACTGCTCGAAGATATCACCGGTCTGTCTGATGTATGCCGTGGCTGACTATGTATTAATCTTGAACGAACAAACCGTATAAAACGCATCAAACAAAGCACAACACATACGACTATCACACACTTTTTTCTATTACTTTATATTTTTAAATCGTTTTTTAATCGATACTAAACTTCATACTAGCTCGATGAAGTATAAATGTACCAAGTCGAATAACAGGAAATGCTTCTAATACTCAACACTCTTCCGGCGTAGCGCTGTAGGGCTCTACACCCAACTCGACGCCAAATGTCTTATCCTAAAACTTGACGCATTTGGTTTTCAGAGCTATATATGGAACTGCGGAGTATAGTTAACCATTTAATTAATGAAATAATATGACGTTTGACTTATATATGGTCTTCATGTATATACTATACAAAGAATTCGAAGATCGCCGGTCTGCAAAATAGTGATGCATCGATATCCATATCGATATCCATATTTGTTGTTAATATTACCGACATGGTCGTAAACATTACAAGAAAATATATCTCTAAACCAACCAATGTTGCTGTTATTTAAAACTGCTGAAGTCTATCCTAAACGATTTCTGAAATATCGCAAACTACAAACGGAACAAACCTTGCATGTAAACAATGCTACTCGGGCTGTTATTAAATAAGCGCTGTGAAATTTCCAAATTCCAACTTGCCATTGACTTCGCTGAAACTTGATGCTCAAGAAATATGTAGAAGTATACCTCTCTGTTATCAAACCTACGGTAAAATAATCCGACAAAAGCCTACTGAAAGATAAGTCAAAGCATGAATGTTACAAATACTGTATGTGTCACTATGTGACTGTATATTTGTAACTTATATGTTTGACATTAGAAAATACAAATCACATAATAAATTTGACACTACAGTAGATTCACTACTGCAACATCATGGTTAGATACTAAGTATGTATTTAAGTGAAATCTCTCAAATGCTTTCTTTTATTTTTCTCTAGTAAATTAACAGACATTGCATTAAATTAACACTGTCCAAGTGGAAATTTCTCGCTTATTACTGTAAGAACATCGATCAACAAATTAGTGAAGCCCTGAATGTCAGAATGACAGGCTTGACAGCACTATTTCCTATTGAAGAATTACAATATTTATCTGTCTATAAGATTATAACGTCCAAATATTTGAGCTATATGGGGCTTGAACTTGAACTGTTTCATCCACACTTGGTTATAATATTTATAAACCGATCTGCCGATATCAAAAATCCGGCCTTAACGCACTCTTAGGGGCTGATTACATGGACCGGGCCAGCCCGGTTAACCGGGCAGAAAAATGTCACGAAAATCTTCCTTGGGCCGCAAAATGAGTTTTAAATCGGGTTTAGGATGATTTTGCATCTATAATAAACCAATTATTTATCGCAAATTTATTTTACGCGAGTTTTAAAACCACAGTAAGGTCCAAAACAAACAAGTTAGCCCGGTTAACCGGGCCAGCTCGGCACCATGTAATCAGCACCTAAGCTATGCATATTTGGGCATAGTTTGGGAAAGCCTCAGAAGAAAAAAAACACGCATTGCAAAGGGAGAAAGGTAAATATATGGAAATATTTTGCTTGGAACCCACAACTTTTTATTCGGGACCCACGACTTTTTACCCATGACCCACGCCTTTTTACCGACGACCCACGCCTTTTTACCCACGACTTTTTACCCACGACATTCTACCCACGACCCACGACTGTTAGCTAGTCCCGATTTACACTATCGTTTGGACAACAAACTATTCAATCTTTGACGACTAAAGACTAAAGGCTAAACTCTGGTTATCCAAATAACAACGCTTGAGTTTAAATATGCTGATGATAATGCCATAGTATCTCATACAAAGCAAGACCTACAAGCAGCTATGGATGCCTTCAACTTTGCCTACACTGGCATTTCGACTTACAATTAATGCTCGGAAAACTAAAGTTCTCTTCCAACAATAAAAAAATGTGCAAGAACATATGAACCACCAAAGATCTCGGTTAGTGAACAGTGACTTAGCTCAGTTGACCATTTTACCTATCTTGGTATAACATTTGATTATGTTTCAGTGACAAATGCTAAAAAAATACCGATTTTGTTTTATCTTATGCTGTCTGACAATCACATATATATTATTGTGGGAGAAAACTCCCAGTGAGAATAGTTATATATTCTCACTGCTTGTTTCCCCCACACAATACCTTTAACTGAAGGCATATTAAGATTGGGGATAAATAATTTTGAGCCCCGGCGGACGCCGGCTCCTTGAACAGCGCCATAGGCAGAGAATATTAAAAACTTCCCTCTCTCTCCAATACTCAGAAATACCCCTCCCTTGGAAAAGTATGAGAAGCTAAAAGGCTTCTCTTAAAGTAATATTGTGAAACATGCACTTTACATCACCAAAAGCGTCTTAACACAGACAATAAATATCTTGCGTTATAAATGGAATGTTGCATGCCTGCCACCCAGGGCGCATTTCTGCATTGCTATAGGGCGAGTATCCATACTCATCTTGCCATGAGAAACATCAATTTGACGTTTGTGGGTGTGTGGGTTATTTTCTTTGATGTTTTGTTTGCCTGTGGTAGTTTGACACTTTTGAATATTATAATAGTACAATATAAAATTCTTTTGTATGATATAAAATTCTATTTGTAATACATACTTTAAAAACACAAACCTGCACAATATTTTCCCTAGTCAAGGAAAATATACAAAACAAACAAACTTTCTTACTTTGCCAGATGGTAAATCAAGGCTTTAGATTGATTTTATTGTCCAATTGGTATAAATAAACAAAGAAAAGCACCATAAATGTTTTAAAAATGCGAAGGCATAAAAACATTTACCAAAGAGTTCCTGTGGGATATTAGTTTCCAAAAGATTTTGCTCATGTTTTCAGAGATTCCCAATCATGGCAAGCTGCCACAAATTTGTGGTACAAATGGAAAATGTTCAAAAACATCAAAACTGAGAGATGATTTACAGCACATCCAGAAACAAACGTCCCCTTATGTTGGAGATAGTTTAATGATCCAAAGATTGAATCATTGAATATAAACTATAATTAACACAATAAAAAACACACGTTTTGGTTTTGTGGGAGAAGGGGTGTTTTGGGGGGAAGTACTCTGTGTTTATGCCAAATGACATCCCTCCTCATCATCACATTATCTAATACTGTACTGAACTCATAATGCAAGTCAAGAGTAGCGACCCCCTCACATATCTGACCAAGAGCACACTTGGACAGTCCCTAACCTGCCCACTTGGGCAGTCCCTAACCTGTCTAAGGTCCACAGAACCGCTTAGAACCCCTATTATTTGAAATATATATTTATATGTGACGTTACTAGAGTCTATGGGAAATGAAGTTGACATATTGGAATACTTCTTTCCCGGAACTCAATGTTTATTTATTTATTACCAGTAAAGGAACCATAACAATTTTTAATATTTACCATATTGTAAAACTTGTGTCCTTAGGCACTTTTACACCTCTGATAGTCTTTCACTTTGGAAAGCTTTTATTACCAGCGAAAACCAACCATAACAATAACAATTTTTTATTTATTTACCATATTGTAAAAACTTGTGTCCATAGGCGCTTTTACACCTCTTATAGTCTTTCATTTTGGAAAGCTTTACAGCAGGAAGCCATTGTTTCCTTATAATATGCTAATTATAATGAGATCCTTTTACCAACTACTATGTGGACAAGGTGTTGGAAGCAAACGCAATAACCAAAGTGCAAGTAAGATGGGGTGGGTGGGATTTAAACTTTGTAACATGGAGCTCGAAGGTAAATCCTTCAAAAGCTTTGAGCAAATAATGCCAAAAAATTGCGTGTGATGCATAACTTATGCTCCTACTTGCTTTGCGATTGGCTGTTGGATTTAATTGGGATACGTAAAAGCTTTTCATTGGCTAAAAGCGTTTCTTTCATTAATATTCACGTGAACACAGTGCTACTTCAAGAAAATAACCTTTGACCCACCAACAATACACGGAAATGTCGACTTGCACCTTTGTCATGCATGTGTCAATGAGGATAAGCTTGCAAAACACTTGCTTTCAACACGTTGTCTCATTAACTGAATTTAAACATTTTAAATTGGCTAAATAGAATAACTGAAATCAAAGTCAACGATACCATGAATTTCTTTGCATTATCAAGAAGTTAATTTCGGAATTTCTCACTGCATCTGCAACATTAGCTAGTTTAATTAATGATCGTTCTTTAATATATGAATTGAACCGCCGAACAGAAAAAATGCTCTTCCTCGTGCATCAACCTTCAGAAGAACAGAGAAAGAACTGCTGAGTTTTACTTGTGAAACTAACGGTGGGTTGACATGGAATAAAGTGTTTGAGACACTGATTGACATGTAGGGTTGGGGTACCAACAAGTTTCCTATTGAGACGTCAGAGCTTACTCGCGTAGCGCAAATTATATAAGCACTTGTAAATATTGCGTCTCACCGAATGGAGTTGCAGATATTTTTGGAGGCAATTGAAGCTCTTGTTAAGCTGTTCCCAGTTATGTATGTGTGCAGCAAAGATACTGAATGTTTTATCAATGTTCACAAATTCATTTACTTACCCCAAGAAGAGCTACAAAATCCTGAAGCTGCTGAGATCTTCAATGATACCGATGATGCTGTTGATCCAGAAAATGAAAATTTTAACAAAACTGGTCAGCCCTCCTTCGTTTCAAAATTTCCTGAAATCGTCGATATCACAACCGAGTTCATAAAACAACATGGATTTGCTGCACAATGCTGTCGCCGATCAGATACTGGTAACTCTTCGGGGGTAACAGCTTCCCAGATTAGAGAACACTTATACAGAGTAATTCCTGAATTAATGGACCATACCATATCCCTGTCCACCATATGGTGTCTCTTTGAAGCTCCTAACAAGAATTTCAACACAAGCTCGCATTATAAAGGGCATGTTAATGCAAGAGTTGGGGTGAAATCAAATACATAGAGAATATCACGAAGATGCACACTACCTTTTTGCAAGAAATAAATATCGCAGAGAACTTGCCAGTCTTTTTCCTAAAGAAATTGATGTGCTGTCTATTGATGACATGTCAAAAATCAAAGTAAGAGCACCTGCAGTTTCTCGTTACCAACCCACCTGTGAATGACCAACCCAACTCAAATGACCATGGTTTCCCTGCTCCTGGTTATCTTCTAGGAACCGTCAGGATACATGTTTCTGGAGCCAAAAACCAATGTTATCCTGAAGAAACATTATCTTTGATTTACAACCAAGAATGCACAGGCATTGAAGTCAATGACGAGTTCCAAAACATGCAAGTCACAGGAGTTAATGGATCACTCTGATGTGTTGGCTCATCAATTGAAGATTTATCTTAACATTATCACCACCTCTGGAGAGATCCAAGAGGAAATTGCCAGAGAGGCAAAGAAAGATTTATTTGACAAAGATGTCCATTCTCAAAACAATGCAATAAATGAGATTAGTGAATTGAAGGCAGCTGCAACTACATTTTTGACGGACATTGTTTTTAATGGTGCCAACCAACACACAGTAATAAAAGCAAAGTGTCGAAGACCCTTGTATGTTGTGCAACACAAGATAATACCTTCCAATCTCGCACTTTCAAACATGAAAGCACAAGTCAATGGGCTGGACCAACAAAGCCTTAAATACAATAACACTTGCCAACATGTCACACCGGACCAGCTTCATTATTTGTCCGATCCAGCACATCCAAGTACAACCACTCCACCACTTTTACCCATATCACAGATTTGTATTCCCTCCTGAGATCAGGAATGTACACATCATTTCGGAAACATGACGATGCTTGGACATTGAGCGTTTTAAAAAACTTGCTATATTTTTCTTATCCAGAGATTTCCTAGTTATGAATGAATGTTTAATGTTGTTTTTCTTTAATATAGGTGTGGTGTTTAATCCAGTTGTGGACGGAGAAATTAAGCCCCCATTCAGCAGAGTAACCTCAAGAAGAACTGCCGAAGAACTGGTGCAGAAAGAAGAAAAAGCTGTATTTGACAAGGCGATGACAGAATTCAAATCATACTGGGACGGTGCTTGTTTCAATGGTTATGACATTTCTACCAAGATCACAAAGACAAATAGTGACCAACTGCTGTTTGACGACTACAAGACTGTAAAAACCTTTCTCAAGTGCCCAATCCGTGATTTACACAAGTTCAGCAACCTTACCACAGGGTATAAATGCATGTTTAAACATATCGATCACCATGCCAACAAAATCATTTTCATGAAATGTGATGACCGCTCGTGCTGCAGTATATTCAAATCTCTTGGCCTGAAAGAATTTCTAGAAATTCAATGTGATGCTGTTTGCACCAAAATTAACAACTACATGTGGTCATGATCACACCTTTCTGCAGTTGTCTATCAAGGTTGAGTATGTTTTTGGTAGTAGTGGTCAAGCAAGTGTTGTAAAGGATGATTTGGGAAAATGTGATCACTGCCCTAACTGCCACTTTACATCGAAAACAGAAAGGGAATGCCACCAGTCATTTCACTGGCGCCAAAAATTCAGTAACAAAGGCCAAGAAGCTTTGTTTACAACATATGTTAAGCTATGTTTGGAAGTTTGTCATCTCTCAATCGTCACAAAAAGGAAAAAAACACGAAGGAAAAAGAGATCAAGGAAGAAAACGTAAGAACACTGAAGCCCCTTACGAAAGAAAGACCAAAGCTCGTACCATACAAGATATGCTGAGAGCAAATCTGATGATTAAAATCGAAGATGATGCAGATGACTCCGACGAAGATTGTTTACCACCTCAGTGAACCATCAACAAAATTACCCTGAAAAAGATCAATTGGGTTGAGTGTGAAATATGTTCGAAATGGAAGGAAGGAAGAAAACCAAACTGAAGTGGATGACTTTACTTGTAATTCTTGCAGCAATGCTTAAGTTAATTAAAAAGAGGTGGATTCCTCTTCATTTGTTATGTTTGTTTCAATAATATTTTTGCTATAATCTCTATTCAAAATTTGTACTTTATGAGATAGGTTGTTCTAAGACTGAAAAAGCTTTGTAACTGTTACTTAAAATAATTAATTGCTTTATACCGATAATACAGTTATTCAAAGTCACATATATATTATATTATAAAAGGTATCATAATATAAAAAGTTGATACAAGTATTTTCAAGTATTTACAATTGTTTTTTTCTTGCCACAGATTGACGTTTCTGGGGTATGAAAAAGAAACATCAAATTGACGTTTCTCATGGCAAGTTCAGTATGGATGCTCCCCCTTACCCAAAGCGAATCATTTTGCATCATTTTGTCTATAAATCGAGATCAACGAAATCTTCACCACCAAAGGAATATCTGACATTTCGCTTTCAAGCAAAGCAGGTTTTTATGTAATGACAAAATTAAATCTTGCCTCACCAAAGCCTTATTAGACACGTCACTGCACCCATTAAAACAAACACAAATACAGCCTTGCCTAATCAAAAGCAAACAGCAGCATCCAAAGCATGCAACCACACAGATCATGATCACAAAAATGTGAAACCTGTAAATGCATTCATGCTTCATCAAAAATAACTATTAAACCATGCACGGCCCAACACATATTTAATGGGCCTCACCAAAAGAAACCATACTCTTCAACATGCAAGAAACAATTAAGAACACTGAATTGCCTCACCAAAAGCAAAAATATGCTGCAACATGCACATGCTAATAAGACTGAGTCACCTTATCAAAAGCAACTATATACACATAACATGCAAGTAACAATATAACAGAAGGGTCAAACACGATAAAGGTGGCGCTTCTGATTAGTAATAACGAGCTTGACAAACACAATAATACCAAAACCAAATGTAACCATGCATGCATAAAAATGCTCATAAATTGTTGTGTAAATTTCACCATAAAACAAACAGCAAGGTGTATCAAAGACAATGTGGTGCAAAATACAGTGTGTGAAACCATGTATAGGTACTGTACGAAACCCAACATAGGCAAAAACAATATATAATGTAGGGCTCACAGTAAAGTATGAGTAGAACTAAAGCATGCTCAATTCATGGACCTAAACAAAAAATCAAACAAATGTCTAACTGAAAACCGCTGATGCGAAGCTAGCATAAAACAAAGGCTCAAAGCACATACCGGTATGCGCATAACCCAATTGAGAACAATACTTAACACAGTTATATCGGGCGTAATTGCACCAGCAAACGTAATTGTTGGCTCTACTCTGTAGAGCAAGTACTAATATTAAAAAAAATGCGAGTCTAAGTTGACCTAATGACTATAGACTAAAACTTACAAGGTTATATACGCACAAGTGGATGAGATTTTAAAAAACTTAATCCTATTTACAGGATTAAATATGCAAGATTGTAAATAGGATTAAGTTTTTTAAAGTGTTATCCACTTGTAAAGGTAGTTAAAGAAATGGTAGTTAAAGAAACCTTATTGTATATTATCAATCACATGAATTTAGTTAAGAACAAGTACAAGAAGTTGAAGACATGACCTTTATGTTTGGGAGTTCTACTGAACCCCATTTGAAGTAGCAATTGTTGCGGCTTGAAATGCAGCCGTTGTACACAAGACAGATCTTTGTCCTAGACAAAGTGACGACTACGTCTGCAATTATTCATTTCTTTTCATTAACTCGTCACGTTGCCGTCGTATATCTTAAGCTCCCTATTTTACTATTTTCTGTATACAGTTTCTTCAACTTTTAAAAACCATAAATTTAGTTTTATCCAAATTTAATGAAAGCATATTTGCTTTAAGCCAATTTGAAATATTAACGATTGTCATTGATCATAGAATGAAAAGACTTGTCTGAGGTGTAGCCTGCCAGATTTTTTTACGGCTTACGGTTATGCTGGGTGGTTTTGTTTTATGTACAGTTTTCTTAATAACATTATTGGGTTGTTTAGTTTGAACAGCAGGAGTAGCAAGAACGCACAGGTGGTCAGACAGGCCAATTGCTGGTAAGATTTCAGCTTCGTTGTACTTGTGCATATTGGTTAAGATCAAATCTAAAATGGCTGATTGCTGGGGAGGTTTCTTAAGAGTTTGCTTAAGTTTGCAAGTTAACTTCATGGAAGACGTTTGGCAACAATCAGCTTTTAAAGTAATTACAGTATATTAAAAGCAAACAATGCATCAGTATTTAAAGTGGCACCGTCATAAAAATTTTATTTTCTTAAAACGAAAATGCTCTTAAAACTGTATAATAACTTGTTTCGACGATTTTTGTTCCCATGCTTAGTTCTTGAGATATTTCATTTTGTTTGTAACCATGTGACATCATTTACTCAATTACATATATAATGAGATATCTGTATTTGTTGTGTATATTTGCTATGTTTGATGGATTTGTTTAAAAAATCAGTATGCTTAATGATGTAGGTTAAATTAACAAACGCGCCGCATCTTTCGAAAGATTTTGATAAAAAATAGCAAAAATACACAACAATTACTGATATCTCATTATATATGTAATTGAGTAAATGACGTCACATGGTTACAAACAAAATGAAATATCTCAAGAACTAAGCATGGGAACAAAAATCTTCAAAACAAGTTACTATACAGTTTTAAGAGCATTTTCGTTTTAAGAAAATAAATTACTTTTAATATACTGTAATTACTTTAAAAGCTGATTGTTGCCAAACGTCTTCCATGAAGTTAACTTGCAAACTTAAGCAAACTCTTAAGAAACATCCCCAGCAATCAGCCATTTTAGATTTGATCTTAACCAATATGCACAAGTGGTACAACGAAGCCGAAATCTTACCAGCAATTGGCCTGTCTGACCACCTGTGCGTTCTTGCTACTCCTGCTGTTCAAACTAAACAACCCAATAATGTTATTAAGAAAACTGTACATAAAACAAAACCATCCAGCATAACCGTAAGCCGTAAAAAATCTGGCAGGCTACACCTCAGACAAGTCTTTTCATTCTATGATCAATGACAATCGTTAATATTTCAAATTGGCTTAAAGCAAATATGCTTTCATTAAATTTGGATAAAACTAAATTTATGGTTTTTAAAAGTCGAAGAAACTGTATACAGAAAATAGTAAAATAGGGAGCTTAAGATCTACGACGGCAACGTGACGAGTTAATGAAAAGAAATGAATAATAAAAATTTTGATGACAGTGCCACTTTAAAACAAACTGACTTTCATTAATGTTGGCACTTTTGCTCCCTTCTTTTAGCAATTCCTCTGTCTTCCTTTTATCAAAAAGCTTTTGAAATTTAGAAAATTTTGCAAGAAATCATCAAATCAAGAAATGTTTGGTATTTCGCTGTTTTCTTGGGGATTAGGTGTGTGGATACAAAGGTAAAATATCGAAGCAAGAGTAATTGCTGCTGCACTTGATTTCATGAAGATTACCTCCTTAGATGACACTCCCCCCGAAGACATTTTGCCATCATCCTTAGTTCATGCAACAGCCGAGGCACAACAGAAGTTCCTCAAAGATCTGGCATTTAAGGTTGTGGACACCTATATTGTTAACAAGACAAACATAAATAGCCTAATGGAAAAGCTACAGAAAGAGCGAAGAGTTGATAGCAGTGTTCTGGCAAATGGTCGTTTTGGATGTAGGTTTCCTGGGTGCACAAAGTCTTTTGCCTTTGATGGAAAAAGACATATCACACATGAGAAAACCCATGGGTTGCACCCATCTCCTGTTGCATGAATCTTAGATCGGTTTTGTTATAACGTGAAATTTTTGCAGCTATTAGGGACTGTTTGTTAATTATGGCTTAGACATAAAAATACCTGTGGTTCCAGTTCCCGTCCAACCATATTCTACCAACTGTATTATTTTTTTAACGTGATTGACCATGTGACCCTTTTTTTCCGGGGGATTGCCGGGCCCCTGCCAAAATGGCATCTGTTGTCACACTAATTATTGACTGACCCTATTTTTTTTGCAATTTGAAAACGGAACCACAAGGCATTTTTTAGGTCGGGGGGGGGGGGGGCTGGTGTTCATTTTTTAAGGAATTAATTGAGAAATGTACCCCCCTAAAATTTGACGTTTTAAAAATTGT